CCCTCCAGGTCACCATATATATATATATATATATAATCCTATTGTGTTTGTATTAAAGTAAGACTTTTGCCTGAGAATTTTGCGTCTTTTGTCAGTCATTCCGTCATTTATTATTATTCAACACTAATGACATAATATAAATGAAACTGACGCTAATCCATAACAAACTTCTGATAACGTTTAAAATTATAAAAGAACTAATTTACGACTTGAATATATTGGATTTTGTCTTTAGAGTTTAGGAATGTACTATAGTAATAAAAAACAGCATCCTTTATTTGTTATACATACGAATAATATATACGCAAAATTATTTATTATTGACAAAGTTTACTTAATTTAATTTTGTTACCTGTTACATTTTTTACTTGCAAATTATTTTCTGAAATAACGGTTTGATGTATACTTCACTTCTATTTTTTTATAAGTTTTAATCTTTCCTTTAAAATTATGTTGTAGAAATCTGTTCCTTCTTATTTCCTTACATTTTAATATTCAATGTTTACATTACGTAACCTATCTACCTTCCTCAAATTACTTATTAACGTCACTACTATTGATTTCGCATATTAAATTTTTAATTTTTAAAATTATTTGAACAATCAGGTGTTACTTGAAACAGAATAGTTTCCTCATTCACATAGTTTTACTATCCCTAATCGACATCAAAATTTCATTTTTTCTACGTGTATTCTAGATGTAAGATAAAGACTCGCGTGTCGTTGCAAGTTACTTTCTCAACGAAATTTCCAATATTTTTATTATTTTATCAATAGGGTTAAGTAGATGAAAGTACTGTTCTAGTATTTTTTAATCAAATACCTTTAATTCTTACCCTGTTCGTTAATAAGCTTCTTAAAGATCCAAATAAACAGTGAAGTATTTTGATTTTTAAGAATTCTTGAAAACGTAGATCAAACACACATTTTTGTTGACTGGTTAATTGCTGTACCATTACGGTACTCAAAAGTCGTTCAATAATTGGTACCATAGATGGATCCAGACAAATCTCATACTTAACAGAGCTGTTTTTCACCCAAGCTCTAGTGATGTAAAACAATATAGGGTTGTTATTGCTTGACAATAATTTAGATGTAATGTAATGACTTAAGTGGAAATGCAAGAAGGTTTTGCTGAATTTAACAAAGTTCTTGATATATTTGTTGTCATATCATGCGACGCATGTTGATGGAGCTACACAGGTATTTTTCAACCAATTACTCTGCCTATTTCTGTTCTTGTTGATAACAAGTCTTTTCAAAATTAGAATGAAAACTAAATTTTTTTTTTTTTAAAGAAATTCTTAAGAAGTAAACAAAAGTAAGAAAAACATCGACCTCAGATAGACTTAAATCACGCAACTTTTTATTAACAAGATGATTTCTCTATCACTGAGGTAACGTGGACCCATGGATTCACTTGCAGCGTAGGCTCAGTTCAATCTCATTCTTAACAAAACTGTTGTTCACCAAAGCTCAATTTATTAAATAAAATAGTTTGATGGTGGTAAATGTTGAAAACAGCTCTATTAACAATAAGATACATCTGAGCCTAGAGTGCAAGTTAACTTCCGGCTACATGGTAGCTCAGTAGTGTAAACAAACCATACTAAAACTACCCCTATTAGATGAAAATCCAGGACCAAAACAGTTTTTTTCATACAGGTCTTAAAATCAACAACAAACATAACCATTTTTGGATGAAAAATGTCAGCAATAGGTCCAAACAAATGGTGAAAATATCCAAAACAGGTTTTTTACTTTTGCTGGAAATGCTGTAGTCGGACACAAAAAGCGTTCTGTGTAAAAAAATGTGCGATCTCAAGACGAACAAAACCGCAAATTGCAATTAAGTACCGATTTTGCACTGTTTTTTGGTAGTTCAGAACTGGCGTTCTAATTATTATTTTGGCTTTAAACTTTGACAGAACATGGATTTTGTGATTCTTAATGACCATACAAAATATTTTATATAGAGAAAACATTTTGAAAAATGTCTTTCTGTGGTCTAACAACTTTTTTGAAGCCATTATTCGGCAGGACTTTTTTTTAGTTTATTTGATGGTCTCCAAAAAGTTTGCATTTGATAATTAAAATTTGAAGTCAAAATATTAATCAGAACGGCAGTAGTAGACTACAGGAAAAAAGGGCATAATTGACACTTTTTGGCCATTGGCGAAAAAAAAGGCAAGGCTAATTTAGGTCCACCAGGGCTCATTTTGTTGATCTTAAAATTGTACATCTTTTTAATGCGAATTGCTTTTT